AAGTGTAGCACAGAGAGGGGTGGACCAATGGGGAAGGTGATCACCCAAAGGTTAGTTTGGGATATGCACACCAAAGGATAACAGCAGGTCATTAAAGCTCTCCCTCACACCCCAGCAATGTGGCAGTATAGCAACCTCTAAGCTCTGGCACCTGCTGGTTCTGCCTGACAAGGAGGCAGATGCTGCCATACGATTCCCTTCTTGCTTTCTCTACATGGACCTCTGCTCTCAGCAGTGTAGTGTCTCTAGGCTCCAATTACCTAATTTAATTTATCCAAAATTTTTCTTCTCACACCTTTACTATATAAAAGTACTTTACAGCAGGAGCTCCTTTTTAGGGAAGAAAGATACAGTAGGTGAAGTTATGATACATCTTCTGATGTAACATGAAAACCAGGAATACCACACCACATTTTAAAACAGGCTACAACATGGTTAAGTTACATCATGTGGGGGCCAATCTTTTTAGCAGATGTGCCACAAATCAGCCCCCACCCTCCGAGAGCTACTCTGATCCCCTTCCCCATCTGCTGCTCTTTCTGTTTCCTACCCTGTCACATGCTACACACACAGGCTGCCCATGCTGTTTGTGCCCCAGGTTGACCACCCCTAAGTTATACCAAAGTCCCAGCCCTAAGTTTTGAGCAGGAAGGCACTAGTTTCCCAACTAACTGAACAACAGTAGTTGCCATTCCAAGCAATGCTATTCCAACTCCAAGACAAACTCTCCTCTTTCTCTGTTGTAATTCAGCCTTCCTCCTATTTCATGCTACTCCCCTACCATACACTTCATTTAAAAATACAAGACATATTACAGCTACAGAAGTAGTGGGCACACAAGCCAAGGGCTGGAAGAAACACAAAACTCATTTGCTCTGAAAGCCAACCCTCACCCAAAGCTAATGTCAAATGACAGACTTGAAACTTTACAAACACAGTGACTTCCAGGAAAAATACTATCTTTCAATCTCTCCTGTTCCTTACTATGAATGGTATCCAGTTTAACGCATGTTAAGCCTATACTCCCTTTTCCTTCAGAAATCTTTATGGTTCCTACACATTATACCAGCAAAATGGGGTCGGGCCTTGTTTTATAAAACACTTAGGATATAACACTAAAAGCCAAGCTTTCAACCCAAGTTAAGCAAAGATTGATTTAAAGCTCCTACCTCACCCAAAATTCAATGTTTGTTTCCCTCCCACTCCCCAATAAGGAAAAAATCCATTCAATGACTGCAGCAGTACTGAGGAGTCTGACATTTAATTTCTTAGAAAGATGACATACAAAATGCAAGACTATTTGTGCTATATATAGTATTGGTAGGGAATCTATTTGCAGAATGGAAGCCCGAGGGGTCAGCGGGGTCGGAGGACAGCAGTACAGCCTGCAGCAAGTTCTTTTTTGGTAATACACCTGCTTACATGAAACAAAGGGTTTGATGTCATCTTGGATCAACTTCCCTTGCTTTTCTAGCAGGCATGGTGGATATCAAGCAGAAGTTCCATAACAAATTTTGGTTCATGCATCTTAAACAACAGTAAAAATCACTAAATCAATTCCTACAAAATTGAGACTTTCTTAACACACTATCTTCTCAAACACCCAACATAAATTTATTTTTAAGCGTTTATTCTTAAGCCTAGACCAGAAGTGAGCAGCTTCTAGCCCAAAGGCCAAATACAGCCCGTGAAGCAATTTCAGGTGGCCTGCAAAACCCAGATATTGGATATCATTTACAATCAACAGAGACAGCGAGAGGAGTGGTGTCCTGGTCAGAAGTATAGGCCTGCCTTTGGAGCAAACTGCACTAATTTGGCCCAAAGGTTGCCTACTCCTGGCCTAGACCCAACAGCAAGTAAAGCATAAGCATTCATATTCCTTCTTTAAAAGTTTATCTTACATGGAAAACATCTTTTGTTTCAAGGTATTTAAGGTACTTACAACAAGGTTGTTCCTGTCAGAATACAGAGATACCATATTCTTCAGTTATTCTTCTTTGGAATGAGATATTTAAGCAGTAGCAAGAGATTTATTAAAATAACATGCAATGCTCCGGTTAGAACCTGCAATTATAAATTTTCCTTGACTACTCAATATAAAAGGAAGATGGATTTGGTGGCCAAGTTTAACAGAAGCACATAGTGTGTTTAAGGGTTCCCCTCCCCCCACCAAACAGGCTAGCAATCCAAACACTGAAACATCTGAAAGTGAAACCAACTACCTGGATTTTCATAAACCAAGAAAAGAACACCTGTGCTGAACTATCAGTGGCAACCAGAACGTTCCTAGGATGTTCCCATGCCACTTTGATTGAAAACAAGCACAGAAATCTTAAAATGTACCATGCACGCTCATCTGGCTTTATTAGTTAATCCCATTTCTGTGTAGAACCAACCTCAATTTAAAGGTCAAACAAACATAAAAAGCAATTGTTACAGCTGAAAGCTCTATATCAGTGTGGACTCAGCTGTAGCTGGAAATATTTCCCCAGTTTGTATTCATATATAATATCCAAATTACTAAAATAAAAGCTTTTCGATAACAGCATTTTTAATAAAAGTGATTCAATACTTGATATTCCCTACTCAAGTGTCATCTCTCAGAAGGATATAGCAGCGTTTTCAATTCATTAAAATTAAGCTTTCAATCGGTTTTAAAGTTTCTAATTCCAAATCCAAATCCATTTTAATCTGTCTCTATCAGATCTCTTGAAGCATCATGTGCAAGTATTTCAGCTACTATACATACTCATTTCTGTAGTACCAAGTACTGGACAAGACAAGCAGGCAGAAGCATATTCTTTTCTAGCTACTTTTTTTTTTTTTATGTTCTGCTTAATGAACTTGTGCCAGAAATTTATCCCACCTGACTACTTACACATACTAGTGGTTGTATGAAGTATTGGGGTCTAACTACATACCAGCAACAGCAATTTATACACCATCCTTTCCTCTTTTCCCTAATGAAATATGGAAGATGTGCAAGGTAATTTTAAAAGCCACGTTCTATGAGGTCTCCTTAGCTGTAAAGCAACACTTCCTAATTACCACTTAGTTCATTACAAGTCTGAGAAAAAATGTCTTTTAACTAAAAGAATTTGACCTAAGATGCTTAAGTGCATTATTTGTACAGACTGTAGGACATTATAGAACAAATGATCTGACCAATTGTTGCTGAACACATCAACACGTTTAAAGCGATGGTAGCAAATGTACTCAACTAGTCTAGATTTAAATAAATGGTCACATGTTTAATATTCTGTTACTATTTAAGCATTAAGAATGGGAAATACTCTTAGTTCCTTTTCTATTAAAAGGAAGATTTCTTGTGAGTCACATACAGTATGCCAGTTCCCCGACTCACGGTCCAAAGAGTAAAGAGCATCATTATACTCTGAAAAAATTTTACTCATCATCTAGAACCAGCTCTTCAATTTCATTCAGAGTCCTGTCACATCGAAGTTTTATTAGAAGCCATAATGATTTTCATATGAACTGAGCAAGAAATAAGCAATGCAGAAGACCAATAAATGAGAAGAACAAATCTACACTCCACAGGTATATGTGGGTAACACTGTGTTTAACATTCCCTCTAGATATGTCAACAAATAAAAATAAATAAATAAATACATTAAAAAAAGGTTACAACTTAGCAAGCCTCTTAACCTAAAAAACAACAAACCTCACAATTTGAGATATGCACATGTATTATTTTGCCTAAAGCAACAATTTAAAAATAGCTTTTTATAACAATATTTAGCCTCCATGAAGAATACTAGTTATATGATAGCTATATATAGACACACCAAACCAACAAGCACACAAACAAGAAAACAAAATAGTCTATTTCCTATCCCTAGGGAAAAATATTGGCACTACTGAGAAGTGAAGCAGTTGTGCTTGTGTTATGTTCTTCCTACGAGTTTCCATTCTATTCGGTGAATGAAGAGAGCAAGTGAACGCACTCAGAAAAGAAACAACCAAGTGGACAACCCCATGCCATTATTTCAAATTAAGTGACAAGAACCACACACCATTATGTCACAACCCAGTTGTTGAGAAATACTCGTCTCCAATAAAGTCACTATATCAAACAATGTCAAAGTGACAGACACTATCAGATGCAATGATTTGCTACTCAAATCACCTACCTAGGTTACTGAAAACACTACTTGTGTAACATTACAGACAATCATTTATAACGGTGTTTTCAATACTCTTCCAAGGAGTCTTCTTCAACAGCACCTACTCTTACAGTTTTTTTTTCCTTTTACAGGTTTGTAAGGACAAAAAATTCTCCACCAAAAGAACGCTTTTTGGCTAGCTGTCAGTTCCCCGTTTAATAAGTCACACCATCAACCTAAACACCTTTCACATTCAGCTGCAGAGCATGACACCAAGGAAAACTTCAGACCCCAGCTCAGAGAGCTCCCAGGAGTTAAATACTTAGTTAAAACCGTTCCCGCTACCTGCAGACAACTGCCCCACATTGGCTAGGAGATTATCCTTCACCTTTATCCAGTTTCTTAATGCCACTTAGAAGTGCATTTTCCTTCATGCTTCCCTGGGCTGCTGCCTGGCCCCACAGCTCTGCCCACCCCGGGGCCTGCTGCCCCAGCTCTGCCGGACCCCTCCAGGTGTGTCCACCCCACGGGCCCGCTGCCCAGGGCCCCCAGCAATACCTGACACCCCCCGCTCTGCCCTCCCCAAGGGCCCATTGCCCACACCCCCCAGCTCTGCCCACCAAGGGGACCCACTGCCTGCACCCCCAGCTCTGACAAGCAGCCAGCAAGGATGGAGCCCCTCTTCCACCCCTGGTACACAGCCCAGCAGCCTGCGCTCACGCTCGCACCCTTACACCCAGACCCGACCCCAGCCCTCGAGGGCATCGCTTGAACCCCAGCGAGCCGGCCCGCTCCTGCGAGGGCCCTGCCAAGCACGTGGCCCGAGCAGTGCCCGGGCGGAGGCGCGGGCGGCAGCCGCCCCCCAGGCCCTCGCACCTTCGATGGCGATGACGTGCTCGCGGATCTGGCCCTGCAGCGCCGGCTCCTCCACGCGCTCCAGCAGCTCGTAGATGGAGTAGATGTTGGGGTGCACCGACTCGAAGCGCTGGATCTCGGCGCGGATGGCC